TGGGAGGGGAGAGAGAGAGAAACATCAATGTGAGAGAGACACATCAATTGATTGCCTCCCTCACACGCCCTGACCTGGGTCAGGATGGAACCTGCAACCCAGGTACGTGCCCTTGACTAGGAATCGAACCCATGACCCTTCAGATGGAGGGCCCGTGAGCTAACCACTAAGCCACACAGGCCATGGCTGCATTGTTCATTTTTGAAAAACAAAACAAGATATGCCCTGGAGGGAGAAAAAAGATGATGGCGAAGGTAACAGCTGCACCCGCCGCCTCCCGCAACCACATCAAAATCGCAACTAAAATACAGAACCACCATCACTCAGAACCTCCTGAGATCTGGCTGAACAGAAGCCCCACAACCAGGGAACTGAAGCAGCACTGAGACCAGGAGGAGGGGCGGAGACTCGGGCGGATCGGGGCTGAATCTTGGAGACACAGCCGCAGGCCCACACCCGGTGCCGCTGTTTAAACCCGGGAGGGAATCTCAGAGGTGGCGGTTTCCTGGAGGAGTGAGGAGTCACAGCCCCACAGCAGGCCCCCAGCGCAGGGCTCCAGGGCCGGAAAGAGACGTCCCCACAACTCTGGGCTGTGAAACCAGCGGGGACTGTCCCTGAGGGTCGCGGAGGCTGCGGGAGCCCCAGGCTTTCTTCTTAAAGGGCCGGCACACAGACTCACTCAGACGCTCTCCCTCTGAGCCCAGCGCCGGGCAGCAGCTCCTCTGAAAGGACCCGGGACACTCGGGGAGGAACTAACCTGCCTGAGATCTGGGCGAGAGGCGGAGGGGCGGCTTCCTCCCAGGCAGAAGGGCTGGCAGAGGCCGTGGCTCCTTTGGCGGGTCCTCCCCGCACACAGCCCGCAGGCAGGCGCCATGTTTGAATCGCCAGCGCCTGACTCACACCTTTGGCCCCGCCCCGTGATTCCGGAGGCCCCGCCCCTCCCCACCTGCAGCTCATCCAGGCCATTTTCAGGGGCTTTTCTGTGCAAGTGGCCTCTCGAGCCTCATGCTTAGGACTTTCCTAAAATCTCTCAAACA